TCTCTTTTGTTACAAACCAATAAACTTGTCTTCTTGTTTCAAGAAAAAGGATTTAATTATATTCAACAAACAATTTATTGATATAAATAAATGATTTTTTTTATCGAATAAACAATTTTCAACTTATTTTTTAAAAATTCCATTTTCATGTATTTTGTGAAAGAATTTCGAGAGTGGGTTTTAAAAATATCCGTACGCTATGTGGAGAAAAGTCGTATAAACCTAGTCCAGGAAACGTGAAATCTAGACGATTTGAGCTCTCTAGAATCATTCAGATTCAATTTGTCATTACAGTTTGTCACTCCTGTATATACGACCTTCTTTCACCATTGTCTCCCTGATAGTAAGACCATGGAATAGAAATTTCTCTTCCCCCCCCCCTCCTATTAAATGTCTTACGTGATGTATATACAGCCCCTAATAATTATTCCACGTTTTTACGTTCAATCTTCTTCGAGTTTATCACCATCTCAAAGCGATAGTAAATTATTAGTATCAAATAAATTATTAAGATTTATTTAGTTCAAAAAAAAAATGTATTTGATTCGAATAAAGACATTGTCTTTATATAAGAAAACTGTTTATTTGGTATAAATAAAGAATTTATTTGGATCAAATGAAGATTTATTAATAGTAAAAACACATTTATTTAATATGAACACAACTTCGAATGAAAATTTTTATTCAATTTGAAAAAAACTTGATTTGGTGCTATTTAAATAAATTTATTTATTGGATTCAAATAAATCATTTATATTTTTGAATGTTGGTAATTGTCAATGGAGTTTATCCAACGTCATATGTAGCAGAGTATCACATAATTCAACATAATTGTAATATTTGGAGATGGAGTTGGACCACCTGGGAATGACAGGTCTGGAAAAATATGCTCCTAAAAAAATATATTCTTCTACCAAGAAAATAATTCTTTGGGAAAAGTTTTTTTTTTTCTTAGTGTAGATAATGAAATACAATACTTACTATTTTTTCACACACCTGCACGGAAAGTTCGTACTTTCCTCCCGCTCATTAAAGAGCAAAATACGAACTTTCCTTTGCAGACGTGTTAAAAAATAGCATGTGCACCTCGATCGGGAAAACATGACTTTCCGCCCTCGATGCACAATATACTATTTCAAAATGCATCACCAAAAGGTGAGAAAATTTTTGCTGAAGAAGTAAATATCGTAACTTTTTTGTTGCATTACTCTCAAAGTTATAAAATAAATTAGTTTTCATCATGCTGTGACATTGGCGCCACATTGTGATGAAAAATATTGTTCGTAACTCGTGAAAAAATGTTTTTTAGCTCGTGGGATTATATCACTCGCCTTCGGCTCGTGATATAAACCTTCCACTCGCCCAAAAACACTTTTTTGCACTCGTTACGAAATATACTATTTCAATTGTAAAACTTGTATACTATTAAAAATTTTCGTCTGGATTTTCCATGTCACATTCCGGAAATTTTTATCATGTTTAATTTCCACCGAAATTTCAGGAAAGCTTGTCATTGAAAAATTGAATATTCCATTCATTTTCTGTTCGAATGATCGAAAAATCATTAAAATACTTGATTTTTCAGTTCAATTATTCCATGAAAATTCGTAAAAATCACGAAAATTCTGGGAAGTTCATGGTATTTTGTTTCTGAATATTCATGTTCCATTGAAAATTCAATCCAGTTGTAAAATTTCCGTCTCACCGCCACTGAAAACTCATGGATTTCCTTGAATTCTCCCTGAAACTTGAAATTTCATACCCATTTTTCCCCTGAATCGGATTCAATGTCACTCTCATGACAATTACTACCAAATTTTCCGTGGAATTTCGAAAAATTTCTAACAGTGTATTATGAATAGTCCAGCTACTACTGAGCCAACATAATCGTCAATAGCAAAGAGAATATGATCCCCTATTTCAAGGTGTGCATTCTCAGTGAAACAAGTCCAATGCTTTTCCGGCAAATATAAATCTTCGAAGTTGGTCCTTCACTTGGAATAGCGCAACAAAGCGCGGAAACAGATATGAAAATCCACTGGTAGAATCTCCCCTCCCCTAAAATTCATGCTTATATGTCTGTTATTTCTATCTCTGTCTGTGGAAACAAAGTGAAAATCCAGAAAACCCTCAGTGCTCTCTCCGAGTTCTATGCTAATCTTATTTGTGTACGATTACGTATGTTTATAACATGCAAAGAAATTCCCCGTGAGCGTTATCAGTGTTTAGTCAGGAGCGTCAACCACAGGGCATCCACCCACCTCGCCTGACAAAAAAGTGTCTCCACTCTTTGTACTTGGCTGAATGAAACACAGAACGTTGCAGAAAGAAAATAAGCAAAAATGTTATTTGAACGTATTTATCTTGATCCAAGGAAATGTTATTTTCCGCAATAATTATTATTTTGTTTGTGAATTGAGTGCATCCAAAAGCCAGAGAAATTGTGGGTTGAAAACGCAGTGTGATGACCTATTGGAGTCTATTGATGTACGCTGACGAATTCTGATGTTACACTGAGAAAAATAAAGTTTTTTGAGAAACGTCTTTACTTGAATAAGAAACTTATGACTTGAAAATTGATAAGAAAAAAATATCTTACACTGAGAAAAAATAACTTTTGGCAGAGGGTCGCAAGGGTCAGATCAAGGGTCCAAATAAGGGTCATTGGGTCAGAAACTAAGGGTCACAAGGGTCAAAATAAGGGTCTCAAGATATCTCTCTATATTATAAAAATCCAAATCGACTTTTGGTGAAGAAAGTTGGGGTCACAAGTGGCAGATTAAGGGTCTAAATACGGGTGATAAGGGTCTCAAGGGTCAGAATAAGGGTCCACATGAGGGTCATGGGGGTCAAAAATCATGATAGGGTAAGATGAGGTTCAGATTAAGGGTCACAAGGGTCATGTAGCCCCCTAGTATTTTATAAGTTGGACAGAAATGCATCAGAAGAAGTCGCGATATTCACTTCTTCGGCGAAAATTTCCTCAACTTTTGGTGATGCATTTTGAGAAATAATAAGTATTGTATTTCATTATTTATGCTCCTTATAACCGCATATGGTAACTTTTAGAGAAAAGATAAAAATCGACTGATTTGTAGCTCAGAAAGTAATACATTAAAATGAGTTTTTATGCTGAGTATTCAGCTGAATTTTCCAGAGCTTCCCCTCGATGCATTCGAAAAACCGAAATCCCGGACTTTCATTATTCATCGTATTACACGATTCCAACTGAAACACAAAGTTAAAGTATATAAACGCATTTACCATCTGCAAATGCGTTTGCGTAACTCAACTCTGATTTTCAAAGTTTGTAATGATGAGAAAATTTTATTCGCTAAACCAAAATACAGGATAAGGGAATGTAGAATCATCTTCCCAACAAAACTCATCCCATCATGCCCAAAAACTCTTCTCGCGTGTCTCTGTCTTACCCACGACATCCGTTTCCATTTGGGGAGGGGATGGGTTTTCCACGGAAGTATATATTCCTAACGGATGAATCCGTCCGGTACCTCATTCCATGAATCTACAAAACCTACTTGTGGGGAAATTGTGAGACGGTGGAAGTTAATAAAACAAATCCCCGTAATGCAAACAGTTGAGCGTACAGAGATTGTTGGGACATGGGAATGGGTTTTTGGCGTACTCGAGTTTTCCACAACAACGATGGGATTTTCACTATTTCCCTAAGATCAATATTACGGAAATCTCAAAACAAATAGTTGAACATTTCCACTTTAATGAGATGAATTTCAAGGGAAAAATATTTTGAAAATGATCAAATAGCAACGAGAAAAAAATTTTCTACATCCAGGAAAATGGTTCTTTTGAATCAAATAAAAATCGTCATTTGAAATTTTTTACTTAGTTCAAGAATATTTTTGTTACAAGTGAATAAACTTTTATACTTGTTTCAAGAATGAGGGTTTAATTATATTAAGCAAACAATTTATTTATGTAAAATGAAATTTTTATTGAATTAAAAAAAACAATTTATTCATTTCACAATAGGGGCTTCGCCCCCTGCTCGTTTCGCTTACTCCCCCCCCCCCCCCCCCCCCCCCCCCCC